TTACATTTGCAGCTTTTTGGTAAAACATTCACCACCCATGAACTCAACCATTTGTCATTTTACTGATCCCTAATGGACACAGTAGAAAGAACCAATCATACTCTCCCTGAGTATAAAATAAAACAAAAAACTTTGTATAAGATTTAATTGACAAAAGCTAGAAAAGAAGGATAAGAATATACAACAGTTGTTAATCTTCTGTACTTAATAGTTAAAACTATGGAATGGATTTCAACCAATAACCCAAAGATACTGCTCATTTAATGCAATGACAGTTGTGGCAGAGAATCTCACTTTACAAGTGGTCTATTGTGATTTCATTATTCACACTGTACATTATCACACCCATGAAGCCTACCCAGTATTTCCAGGTTACCATGGAAAGAACATTTATGGCTCATAAATTCTTTCCAAAAGCACAATCCACTACCCTACATATTACCTAACAGCTGATTTGTTTATCTAGGGAATTGCAGCATGATACTTTTTTCCATCCACGTGGTGCTTTACATAAAATGTCCTGTTTATTGTATCACTGTGACATTTTCACTCATTGCCCTCTAGGACCAAAGAAGTTGCTCTGAACGTTTGTATTATGTCTAGCATCAGCTACAAAATTCAAACAAAATCAGACTTAAAGGGAAGTGAAGACAAACAGCTGAATTTGCAATTAAAATATGTGAGAATGAGGTGCTGTACCTGCAAAAAAATGTGTAATCATCTAGTTTTCCAATCTATTTATCCCTTTCAGATACTACAGCCTGGATCTGACCTCAGTTTTCTCTTTTGCCATTAATGCTATACAATTTGGTAAAGGACTGACCTAACCTATACACCCTTTTCCTGCTACAAGGTCTGTCCTTTCTCTCCCTGTCTTAATCCTGTTGTGCAGGGAACTTCCAGAGGATAATATATACACAGAAAGAACTACATATTTATATATACATTTATGTAATTTTAATAATTTACATAAGTGGGCTAAATAATGGGTATTTTCAGCCACTTATGATTTAACTTTAAAGTGGTTGTAAACCTCAGACATGAAATATGAGCAAAGTATATCCCTCTATAGTGTGTACTTGCCTCAATTAAGAGCACTAAGGGATAGATTTACTAAAACTGGTGCACTCAGGATCTGGTGCAGCTGTGCATGGTAGCCAATCGGCTTCTAACTTTAGCTTGTTCAATTAATCTTTGACAATAAAACCTAAAAGGTGATTGGTTTCTATGCAGAATAGCACCAGAGTTTGCACTCTTTTTTAGTAAATATCCCCCTAAGTGCCATTTCTGACAAGTTTTCCTGACACCAAGAGAAAAATGGTGACACAGAGAAACCTCCAGCAGATTGACAGTCTCAGCTCTGTTCCTGTGAGCTGTGTGGAGTGGGGGAGTGACTCTTCCCTCCAATCAGCTGTCCTCACTGATGTAACATCAGCTCTCCGCCCTCTGCTTTTCAGAGCTGACAGATCCAGTGTAAATTCCTCATTATACATAGATGTAGGGGAAAGCAGGCTGTAAAGAAACAGGTACAACTTATGTAGGAGGATTTGTTTCATCCCTGTTTGTCATCTGAGGCCAGTCACTTCACCAGGTATATGTCAGGGTTTACAACCACTTTAAAGAGCATAATTTGTTAGATCATTTTCTAGTAAAGAAAATGCATTTTTGCTATATATAATTTCAATTACTGGCAACAAACTATTTATTTACTACAGGTACTTACACTCACTGGCCACTGTATTAGGTACACCTGTTCAACTGCTTGATAACACAAATTGCTAATCAGCCAATCACATGGCAGCAACTCAATGCATTTAGGCATCTAGACGTGGTGGAGACAACTTGCTGAAGTTCAAACCGAGCATCAGAATGGGAAGAAAGAGGATTTAAGTGACTTTGAATGTGGCATGGTTGTTGGTGCCAGACGAGTTGGTCTGCGTAATTTAAAAACTGCTGATCTACTGGGATTTTCACACACAACCATCTCCAGGGTTTACAGAGAGTGGTCTGAAAAAGTGTCAGTTGTGTGGACGAAAATGCCTCGTTGACGTCAGAGGTCAGAGGAGAATGGGCAGAATGGGCAGACTGGTTCAAGATGATAGAAAGGCAACAGTAACTCATGTCAATATGGAACATAATCTCTGAGGAATGTTTCCAACACCTTGTTGTGTCTATGCCATGAAGAATTAAAGCAGTTCTGAAGGAAAAAGGGGGTCCAACCCGGTACTAGCAAGGTGTACCTAATAAAGTGGCTGGTGAGTGTATATAGCACCAACAATTTACTAGGCACTTTATGTATATATTGTACATTCGCTGTCCTCAAGGAGCTGATGACCTAAGGTCCCTAACTCACATTCATACATACTAGGGCCAATTAGACTGGAGTCACTTAACCTACCAGCATGTCTTTGGAGTGTTGGAGGAAACCCACAAAGACAGAACATGCAAACTCCAGGTAGGCAGTGCTGTGGTTGGGATTCAAATCAATGACCCTAGTGCTGCCAGTTGAAAGTGCTAACTACTTAGACACTGTAGCTGCATGCTACTGAGGCTTCTACTATCACAACAGCCCCGAACAGCAGGTGGACCCATCAGGTAAACATAATGAGGAATGGAATTCATGCTGTCAGCAGTGAGAAACCTACACTTTGTTTCCCATGAGTTTCTGTATCAGTAAATGCATGGTTTAGCAGACGAATGTGGTGTATCTTTTTTTTTTTTTTTTTTTCGTTTTTTTATCCCACACATGCAGTTTAGCTTCTCAATATTCTCTCATTGTAGACTAATACTTGCTGAGCCAAGCAGATGTGGGACAATAGCCATGATCATGACTGTGACCCATTTTTGACCCCAGTGCTATTTTATAATATTTAAATGAAACGGCATAATTAACTGAAACAACATATACTTCATTGTACACAATTATATTGTATGGTTCAAAATTTCAAAGCACATTTATTGGTTAAATTATCAGATTTTATTAAGATTTCTACGTACAGAGCAAATTTTGTACTTAACCATTTGTGCACAATTGTCACCTAGCCAGAATTATTTTCCTCCATAGCAAAAAGGCAGGGGACAGGATGAGTAGCAAACTACATGTCAATGGCCCTATAGGGGGCCCAACATTGACCCTACGTTAGAAATGCTTGACTCCTTCCCTGACTCATTGCCCCAATTAAAGTTTTATTATGATGCAATTACTAGAAGACGCTATGTATTGAAGAAATCGGTATAAACGGTATAACATATACATATACAGTATCTCACAGAAGTAAGTACACCACTCACATTTTTGTAAATATTTGATTTTATCTTTTCATGTGACAACACTGAAGATATGACACTTTGCTACAATGTAAAGTAGTGAGTGCACAACTTGTATAACAGTGTAAATTTGCTGTCCCCTCAAAATAACTCAACACACAGCCATTAATGTCTAAAACTGCTGGCAACAAAAATGAGTACACCCCTAAGTGAAACTGTCCAAATTGGGCCCAAAGTGCCAATATTTTGTGTGGCCACCATTATTTTCTAGCACTGCCTTAACCTCTTGGGCATGGAGTTAATCAGAGCTTCACGGGTTGTCACTGTAGTCCTCTTCCACTCCTCCATGACAACATCACGGAGCTGGTGGATGTTAGAGACCTTGCGCTCCTCCGCCTTCCATTTGAGGATGCCCTACAGATGCTCAATACATGCTTGGCCAGTCCATCACCTTTACCCTCAGCTTCTTCAGCAAGGCAGTGGTCATCTTGGAGGTGTGTTTGGGGTTGTTATCATGTTGGAATACTGCCCTGCGGCCCACTCTCCAAAGGGAGGGGATCATGCTCTGCTTCAGTATGGCACAGTACATGTTGGCATTCATGGTTTCCTCAATGAACTGTAGCTCCCCAATGCCAGAAGCACTCATGCAGCCCCAGACCATGGCACACCCACTACCATGCTTGACTGTAGGCAATACACACTTGTCTTTGTACTCTTCACCTGGTTGCTGCCACGCACGCTTGACACCATCTGAACCAAATATGTTTATCTTGGTCTCATCAGACCACAGGACATGGTTCCAGTAATCCATGTCCTTAGTCTGCTTGTCTTCAGCAAACTGTTTGCGGGCTTTCTTGTGCATCATCTTTAGAAGAGGTTTTCTTCTGGGAGACAGCCATGCAGACCAATTTGATGCAGTGTGCAGCGTATGGTCTGAGCACTGACAGGCTGACCCCCCAACCCTTCAACCTCTGCAGCAATGCTGGCAGCACTCATATGTCTATTTCTCAAAGACAACCTCTGGATATGACACTGAGCATGTGCACTAAACTTCTTTGGATGACCATGAGGAGGCCTGTTCTGACTGGAACCTGTCCTGTTAAACCGCTGTATGGTCTTGGCCACCGTGCTGCAGCTCAGTTTCAGAGTCTTGCCAATCTTCTTATAGCCTAGGCCATCTTTATGTAGAGCAACAATTCTTTTTTTCAGATCCTCAGAGAGTTCTTTGCCATGAGGAAGCCATGTTGAAGTTCCAGTGACCAGTATGAGAGAGTAAGAGCGATAACACCACATTTACCACATCTGCTCCCCATTAACACATGAGACCTTGTAACACTAATGAGTCACATGACACCAGGGAGGGAAAATGGATAATTGGGCCCAATTTGGTCAGTTTCACTTAGGTGTGTACTCACTTTTGTTGCCAGCGGTTTAGACATTAGTGGCTGTGTGTTGAGCTATTTTGAGGGGACAGCACATTTACACTGTTATACAAGCTGTACACTCACTACATTATATTGTAGCAAAGTGTCTTTTCTTCAGTGTTGTCACATGAAAAGATAGAATAAAATAGTTACAAAAATGTGAGTGGTGTACTCACTTCTGTGACATACTGTATATATATATATATATATATATATATATATATACATACACTATATTGCCAAAAGTATTGGGACACCCCTCCAAATCATTGGATTCAGGTGTTCCAATCACCTCCACGGCCACAGGTGTATAAAATCAAGCACCCAGGCATGCAGACTGCTTCTAAAAACATTTGTGAAAGAATGGGTCGCTCTCAGGAGCTCAGTGAATTCAAGCGTCGTACCGTGATAGGTTGCCACCTGTGCAATAAGTCCATCAGTGAAATTTCCTTGCTACTAAATATTCCACAGTCGAATGTTAGTGGTATTATAACAAAGTGGAAACAACTGGGAACTACAGCAATTCAGCCACGAAGTGGTAGGCCACGTAAAATGACAGAGCGGGGTCAGCGCAACACTGTACCATGCTTGCATTCTCTGAGCTACTGAGAGCGACCCAAGGCAAACTGGGTTGATTGTTTCTCGTGGCACAATACGGCGTACACTGCAGAGGAATGGCATTCATGGGTGCCCGTCCACGAAGGAAGCCTCTCCTAAAGCCCATGCACAAAATAGCCTGCCTAGATTTTGCCAGGGCCCATTCTGAAAAAGAAGACTACTGTACTCTGGAGTGATGAGATCAGGATAAATGTTTTTGGAACTGATGGCTTCAAAACTGTATGGCGTCGCAAAGGTGAGGAGTACAAGGAAAAATGCATGATGCCTACATATGAATTCACAGATGAATTGCTCTATATTGAAAGAGAAGATGCTACCATCACTCTGTGCCCTTGGTTGTCATGTACTTTCCAACATGACAATGATCCAAAACACATCTAAGGCCACTGTTGCATTTCTGAAGAAGAACAGGGTGAAAGTGATTCAGTGACCAAGTATGTCTCGTGATCTGAACCCAATCGAACACCTATGGGGAATTCTGAAGAGGTAAATTGAGCAGCACTCTGCATCCAGCATCCAGGTTCTAAGAGAGGTCGTTCTTGAAGAATGGACAAAGATAGATGTTGTAATATATCATCAACTTGCCTAGAAGACTTGGTGCTGTTCTTACAAATCATGGAGGTCATACAAAATACTAGATGTAGTAGTTTTTGTTGTGGGGGTATACTCATTTTTACATCAACTAATTTGAGTAAAACTGAAGATGTTGTAATCTAAGCTATATTATTAAGCTTACTTTCATGTAATGAGCTAAAGCAGGGGTATCAAAGTGTCGGCCTTTCAGATGTTGCGAAACAATAAGTCCCATCATGACTCTGCCTTTGGGAGTCATGCTTGTAACTGTCAATCTTGCAATGCCTTATGGGACTTGTAGTTTGGCAACAGCTAGAGGGCCACCAGTTTGATACCCGTGAGCTAAAGATTTTGTCAAAATGTTAGAAATCATTCTTATGCTCATTGAGATAATGATTAAAATCTTACTTTTCAAAAGGGGTGTACTCATTTTTGCGGCGCACTGTATATATAAATATATATATATGGATAGATGGATAGATAGATAGATAGAGGTACATTCCACTGATAACGCTAAATAAAATGTTTGTTGAATATTGTCTCTGTCTAACTACACTCAACCAGTCTTTTAGAAAAACAGTAGCTGTATTCTTATACTAAACAATACATTTCAGATTCCATATTGTAAGTCCAACTTAATGTGTAGATTTGAGATGTAATAAAATGAGTAATTAAGTGGTGCTCATTTTTAGCACATGACATGAACGTTCTGTGGAGTTGAACCCTAACAAGGATCACACAGTCATAATATGTGGAAACCTTATGTCAGCACAAGCCTTTGTCATGCTTTAAAAATCAACTGGGTAAACCATTAACATACAAAAAATATTTCCAGGAAGCCTGCTCTGCAGATCAGAGTTGCATATTCTTCTGCCATAGTTAATGCAAACCTGTCAAAAAGAAGAAGAATCTTTATATGATTAGCCTGAACACATCATGAACACACACTTTTGGATCACAAATGTTCTGAAAAACAAAAGTGTTGGAAGTAAAACATATAACTGCTTGACCATGATAGACACACAACTGGGCACAACCAAATGAAATGAAAAAATTTGATTCTAAATCTTTGTTATATAAATCTGGAGATTGGATAACAAATTTGTATGAGTAGTCATTTTCCTCCATATTCCCTTTAATCTTTTCAGATATTGAAACACCTAAGGCCATTTTAGTTCCTGAATGGACACCTTGAATGCCCTCCCTTTCACATTCAACTGAAGAAAAAAACTTCAAAAATTGCCTTAGATACACTTCAGAGATCCATGTGAGAGTTATGAGGTATAGCTATGAATGAAAGGAGATGAGGGGAGCCAACATTTTTGACTAGGATAAGAAGGCAGTGAGGCTTTGGCTTCCTCTTTATGGATGAGGCTAGCGCCCTATATAGCTTATATTTCAAATGTGACCATAGTAAAGGTTAAAGCAGAGCTCCGGCAAACTCTTCTTTACATGTCATTGTTGCTGATTTCCTTCCTTCACTGAATATGTCATCCATCTTCTGGTTCACTCAGTAGTTGCTCTGAAATAGCCTATTCATTTTCAACTCAAACCATTAATTCTCTTTTGGTTTCCTGTTTGTAAGACTAGTGGCTGCTATACGTTCTATTCCCCCAGCCACTGGTCTTGGCACATCCCTTCTGTAGTTCTTTCTCCAGGAAGCAGTGATGTAATACAGCCCAATTTGCAGTGATGGGTGGACCGAGACTCTCAGACACATTCAACATGTACAAGACTAGTGTACCCACCCACATTCACTACAATTCCCTGTGGTTGATGGGAGCTGTAGTCTTCTTTTACAGCAGAGAGGATATGATGTAAACCCTGCTGTTACACCTCCTCCTTGGCAGAGCAAATGCTGTTATCTTTTGAATTACAGAGATGAGGTCATGAAAACTAAATTAAACTTTTCTCCTAAATGGTAATGATTTTCAAAATGTCATTAACTGTTTAGTGTTTTGTGCAGGGGGTGCACTAATGGGTGAATGTTTTGCCTATCCTGGAGTTCTTCTTTAAAGATTCTAATGGGAATTGGACAACAATGTAAATGCCCTCAGATCATACCTATCCTGATCCTGGGTGATAAATTAGCCATATCTATAAGGATTATTGAACTCACACTCACACCTGCAATGCTTTGCTTCATGCAATACATTTTTGTAAGGTGCAGTGCTTGTAAAGAAAAAAGGGTTCTATACGTGTAAAATCCAATCCACTGTAACAAAACTGCATGCAATGGACCATCCTTTACATAATCAAGTGCCCTTTATATGTGTGTATACATAAAAATAAGCTGTACTAAATATACAGTGTATACTGTACCTATACACTATGCACGACCTCAATGCAAGTAAAGACCCTCCTATAATTAACCTTGATAAATATGCAAATAATGCTTAGCATATGTGTAACGGAACCGACCCAGTCTGCGCTTGGTACTTCCGTTATAATACCGCTTCCCCGTCCGAACACCGACCACAGACCCCACAGCAGACCAAACAAGACTAGACGACACCAGTCTGTCTGAACATGGAACTCTTTATTTGAAACTCGAACTGGTTTTTTTATACACTCAGGGTTCAAATCCCCCCTCCCTGCATAATGACACAGGGTGGGGCAATCTACACTTAGCAACAAGAGACACACAGGTATTCAAACTTCACACCAACAGACAGTCCCATCAGGAGGGAGGGCTGCTGGAGACGACCCCCCACTAAGCTAATACACATAAACACATACATCCCATAATAGTTTGCTCCCAAGCAAGACAAACAATAGATCAATGGGATGCAACCACATGGCATTAAACAATCAACAACCCCCCAACCCAATATTAGGACAGATTACCCTGTACCCCTAACAGGCACAAGGTGACTTACACATAATAGGGATATGGGGAGCTGAGACAGGAGTCTCCCCATGTCTCCAAAGTGAGCTGTGTTCCATGGGCTCCCACCCAAAGTGACTCCCGTCACAATAGGAATCCAACTTCGGTATATAAATAAATAACTAATTTAATATGATGATATAAAGCACAAATGTGATAAAAGGGGACTGAAAAATCATTTAATACACCCAGTATGTCCACTCACACACTCATAATTGAGTGTACTGTATACTAGGGCAAACATCTTTCCAGTGCCATAAAGCCCATTTATCCACAAGCCTCCGGTGATACTCTGCAAAATGTCAATCAAAGTGGTATACTTCACACTTCACACCAATGCTCAAAAAAGTCCCCTGAGTGACCTTTTGCCAGTGTGTTCTTCCTTCAAACTAAAAAAACTGTCACCAGATCTGAATAACCCTCTATAAAAATAGGTGGGTCAAAGTACTTGTTTAATCCTTTCTAGAGGTTCTAGACTACCTCATCTATAGCTCTGCCTCCCCACATCATCATATGTAAAATGTAAAACAAAGGAGATTAATACCGCTGCATGAAAATGTATAAACAATTAAAACTGTGCACTCCCACATTGCTGTGCCTCCCATGCACCCATGATAACAGGTCTCCTTACTGTCCAAGCACTACTCCACCTTCAGTCTCTGGGTGCATGCATGCGCTCCACTGAGCAAGAGTGATGTACAAACCGAGTTCAGTCCAACACAGTTTCATCATTCAAGGATGAACCTCCTTGCTTCATGGCCTTGGCAAATATAACGTGACTTGATGAGTTTGACAGGCATCACCGCTGGTCAAACACGCCCATTCAAGTAAATGAGACTATGTTGAAACCGAAAGCCAAAGTCTTGGCCCATGGTTTCAGCTCAATAATTCTATTCAAATCCATATTCTGTGAATAGCAGCCAAAATCAACTGCTGATTGCTTTTTTTAGAGGGGCAGTAGAGACTGCCACATATGTGAACTTAGTTTAACAGGTTTTTACTTTTCAAGCTGTCAATGCTAAGTTGTTGTCTCATGAGTACCAGTAGTGTTGTCAGCCTCCATGCACACTCCTTTAGTTGCCAATGGGATGCCTATCAAGTCTACAGGAGGCACATGCATACTTAAGAGGAAAATTGTGTACAGTGAAGCATGATGCCAAGAATGGCGAAAAAGAGATTTTGAGTTTACGTAGACACTGATTATGACACAGATTAGCCAACCGTACAACATTAGGACAAACACGTGAAATGCATAAGACATGATTTAATGGTTCACTATCTGGATTTTGTTTTCCATACACATTAATGACTGTACTATTTTCTATAGATCAACAACTGGGAAAAGTTACATAT